GGATTCAAAGATCATGCGAAAACCATGTTTGCTAAGAAAAGACCCCGAGACAAGATTCTTACGAATGTCTGGAACATACAGGACTTCATTCAAGGTCAGCTCATTTCCTGAGGTCAACTTCAGGACCACCTTTCCTTTCCTCTCAACAATTGAGGTAGCAAAATTCCCCATAAATAACTTCTCGCCATTTATAACCGGCTCGAAAGTTGTAAACAGCTTCTTCTCAAAGTAGATGTGGTGTGTAGCCCCAGTATCAATCCACCATTCTCTTGAGTTTGAACCCACCATATTCACTTCAGAGACAACGGCAGACAAATGCATGTCATCCTCATCATGGGAGTGCTCTTGCATACCTGTCATGTGAGCACAGGGTTTGGTTTTGTATAGCTTCCTCTGCTTGCGGCAGTCACTAGTCTAATGCCCCTCGTTACCACAGTTGTAGCACTTTCCTAAGAACAGATAAACAGGTTCCTGCGGCTTGTATGCCGGCTTCTTTGCAACACCACCTCTTGGCCCCAGCTTTGAGCCCTTGTTCACAGTGGGCTTCTTTTTCACCCTAGAAGATTTGCCATGCTCAATGACATTGGCCTTCACAGAGGAGGTACTCCCTCATTTCTTTTTATTATCCTCCTCAATTCGGAGTTGGACAATCAGGTCTTCAACTGATATTTCCTTGCGCTTGTGCTTCAAGTAGTTCTTGAAGTCCTTCAAACCATTGGGAATTTTCTCCATGATCACAACAACTTGGAATGACTCATTCAAAGGCATCCCTTCAGCATGAATTTTATGCAAGATCACTTGGAACTTTTGGACTTGGCTCATCACAGTTTTTGAATCTATCATTTTAAAGTCCAGGAATCGGCCAATGACAAATTTCTTTGCCCCGACATCCTCAATCCTATATTTCTTGTCTAGAGATTCTTATAACTCCTTTACTGAGCTCTTGGCACAAAACACACTGTAAAGTGAGTCTGCCAAACTGTTGAACACATAGCTCCGGCAAAGATAGTCTGTTTGCTTTCATGTGTCAAGGGCCATGACCTTTTGCCTGTCTGACTCATTCTCTGCCATGGCTGGAGGATCGTCATTCAAAACCTTTGCAAGGTTCAGCATGGTTAAGTATAACAACATTTTTTGTTGCCATCTCTTGAAGTTCACCCCAACAAATTTCTCTGGGCACTCATGGTAACTGAGTGGTCCTCTCGGAACAGTCGGAGTAACACCAAGGTTGACCACAGAGGTCATAGTTGAGGTTGGCAAACCAGTAGTCCCGGGGTTCTGCTTCCCACCAACATTGATAGTAGCAACAGCATCGGTAACAGTTGTTATTTCTGAAAAATACAACAGACTTTTCCAGAAATAAAACTTAACACTAGAAAATCTCACAATTGAAAATTTAATTCAAAATTAGTCTCACCACTTTACCTAAAATCGAACATGGTCAAGAATGTTCCCAGGAAGACTGGAGTGGTCGCATCGGTCCCACTTAAAACCCAATTAATCTTTTGACAAAACTTTCAAGAGCATGTTGACTTCTAGTTTATGGGAAACAATTTTTAAAATTAAGCTTTTCCAAGGGATGAGGCTAGGTTAAAACAAACCAAGGTCCAAAACTTACAAGTAATTTAAAAATTGCTAACCAAATTACAAGTAATGAAAAAATTGCTACAACAATACAAGCAAATAAAACTTGCTTTTACAACTTGGTAAACAAAATAAATAAATCTCAAGCAAAAATTGTTTCAAATATAAACAAAAGTAAACCAATCCAAATAGAATTATTATTTGTCTAAAACTCCTTTCCTCGCTTTGGTATTTCAGTAAAGAAAGTTAGTAGAAAAACACAACAAAATACAAACCAAATAATCTAAAGAAATTGTAAAAGAATAAATTAATTTAATAGCTAAATTAAATAAAATTAAAAATCTAGACAAGTTATACAATTAAAATTATAACTCCCAAATTTAAATTTATAATTTAATTTACACAATAAACATGTATATAAATGGACAAGTTACAAAACTTTTTATAACTCCAAATGCTTAAATTTTTCCAATGATGTAATAAATTTATAAATTATTCTAGCAATTAACATGCAAATAAGTCTATAATAATTAACATGTAAATAATTCTAGAATAAGAAGCATGTAAATTGACTTAAATCTAGAAAATAAAAACATGTGAATTAATCTAGTATGTAACCATATTGAACGTGTTGATTATACTAGAAACTAATTAGTATGTCAAATAAAATTTAAACACTTATGAACATGCAAATTATATTATAAAATTATAAAATAAAATGACAATCATGCTCTCAACACAAAATCATACTATACCAAATAAGTAAATAGATTATGCTAGAGATCTAGATATGAAACCATTCTAATCAAACTGAAAAAACCCAGAACAGACCTTTACATATATTAATTGGCAATCATGCAGCAGTGGGCTTACTATGCCACCGTATTCCTAATTATGCACTAATATACAAGAAACAGTCTAGGTTTGGAATATAATTGATTAAGCTAATCATGTATGTATCAAACAAACAGTAGCCGTATATATAAAGTCAATGAATTATCTAATCAAGACTAGCATGTACATAAAACAAACACCTAATCGACAATTATTTATTTATTTAAATAAATTTAATCATGCACAACAAATTTGAATTCAGTTATTTAATTATTTATGTTTTTTTTCCAAATTAAAAGAAAAAAATTAACAAAGGGCACCAAACAGTGTAATCACCAAAGGACAATCAAAATTTGTACTCAAGAATAACAAGGTGAGACAGGTGATTGAATCTATAAAGCAAATTAATTTTTAATCAAATTCATATATGACAAAGAGTGCTTTCTTGGAATTATAATCAAAGATGTGGAAGAAGCAAAGGGGGCAGGCTACAGGCTTGGTGGCACAGTAGCATGAATATGAATATGTTCAGCCTAATTCATGGAAATAGTGAACAATCCTATAACAGTGTACCAACCGGAAAAAATAACTAGTCCAATTTTCATGAAAATTAATAATTTGTTTTAAGATTGTTGTTGAAATTAGCTAATTAAATAAAACAATTAAATTCATATTTTATCAGTTAAATTACATAACATATAACATGATTTACAAAAATACATATGGAACTGAAATATAGAAAACAAAGAATTAAACTGAAACCTGTGTGGCACCACAGTGTCCTTAAAATATATTAGCCGTCTCACTGTAGGTGCTATAGAAATGTCGACTTTTGTCTCTCATGATACGACAGTTTAGACCGGCTAACGCAGAAGCACTTTCTGTTAGTTTTGGCAAACTGACAATGGCAGTACTCTCTCACACAAGAAGAATATATTATAGATGGAGACTAACAAGACAATGATATGAGAGAAAAAATTCTGTGCAAATTCAAGGGAGATGGGTCTCTTTTTATACACCATGGGGAAGAGAGGAGGAACATCCAGCCATGAAGGCTAGCAACTAATGCCTATGAAGGCTGGCAACTAATGGTCATTACTCCTGCAAAATTGCTGGAGTAATGGACCAAAACTGATGGGAAAAATATCTTATATTTATTTTCTATATACACAAGTGTGTATATCTGTAACAGACTTGGCCTAAGAAAATTAGGTTGGTTGGCCACCAATCCGGCCCAACCCAAACCTAACCCATTCCATCAAGCTTAAAGCCTCAAGCCCCAAGATCCAAGATCCATGGCCCACGAATCACGGACCACGGACCAGGACCATGACCGATCCGGGTGGGCGGCGCGCATGTGGCAATTTTACCATAACCAACTTGGATCATAGTCTTGGCCCAAGCCCATCTTTGAAGCATCCATGCCTCCCTTCCTTCGAAAAATTTGGATGCCCCAAAGGGCTCGTGTCCTTCTCATAATCTTGAGGTTTAAATACCTATCAAAGTTTTTCTCTACAATCAATGTGGGATTGGTAGTTATACACAATTCCCAAAACCTCATTTATGAGGCCATCTTTATGAGACAATTTCTCATTCAATTCTCAATCATTTTTTGTCATCCTTTTTATGGTATAAAGACCTTGTTACAAAGAATCTAAATCTATTTAATCCTACCTCAACTAATGACTGGGACCTACTTTAATTTCACATTGAAGTCACCAAAAAATCATTTTTTTCAACAATTATGCTATAAAGGTATTTAAGGTTGAGGATGTGATGTAAAATGTGGAGAAGAGCCCTCTCTATCTCTACAGTAAACCCCAAATCAGCAAAAATTTCGAGGCTTATAAGGATGCTTTGGAGGGTTTGGATTCAATTATTGGATATGCGGTTAAAGCAAATAAAGGGCTGTGTTTGGATGTGAGGCTGTGTTGATTAGTGTTACTAAGCTTCAGTTGGCTCTTCATACTGGCTTTGATCCTACTAAGTATGTTACTCTACTTTGTTTTCTTGTGATGTGAGTTAATATAATAGTTTCAATTTAGCATTTTCTCTGATATATAGAACATGTTTATGTTTTAGAATATACTCATACTTTGATTTTTATAGTGTGAGTTAATAGTTTCAATATAACATTTTCTCCTATGTATGACCCTGTTTGTTTTCAGAGATAGAATGGAGGGGATTGATAGTGAAGGGATTAAGTAAAATTATGTTTATTTTAATAATAGTTGTTAACTATGTAGCACGGACACGGACACGGGACATGACACGGATATGCAGACATGCAATTTTTCAAAAAATAGGGGACACGACATGTTGGGGACACGCTTAATATATATATATATATATTTATTATATGTAAAATTAATATATATATATATATATTATTTTTATTTATATATTTACTTTAATATCAAATATCATTCCTAATTTTTTTTACCAATAAAAATAATTTATTCTATATGTTAATGTTTAGCAAACAAAAATATTAAAAAAATATAGAAAAAAATAAGGGGAAAAATGATTTTTTTTCATTACTAAAAACAAAAAGGTAAAAAAAATAAAAATAAATAAAGAATAAAAGAGGAAGAGAGACAGTAATATGAAGAGGGGAGAGAGAGAGAGAGAGAGTCAAACAAAAAAGAAGAGAGCGAACAAGAGAGATGAACATAGAGAGGAGGCGAACAGAGAGAGAGAGAGAGATGCGAAAGAAACAAAGAATAGAGCTTAAGAAGCACGGAAACTTCTAAGAATGTGACGTATCTGTGTCGGACACCGACACTCTTTGGACACTCTTAGGGCACATTTTTTAAATTTTTTTAAAGATTCGGACACTTTTTGAACACTTGGAGGACACCCGTGTTAATCACTTAACACGTTTCTATTAATTAGACATATATGAAACTAATTATAAGTTTGAACAAAACAATTTAAAATACAATAATAAAATAAAAATCATATAAATTTATAGGAATTAGTGTCATATTGTATTTTTTTTATTGTCTTTGAATAATATATTAATGTGTCGTGTCTTGCACTTTTTTAAAATTAACGTGTCGGCGTGTCCGTGTCTGTGTCCATGCTTCTTAGAACAGAGCACCGAAAAGAGGGAGAGAGAGAGAGTCGAAGAAGATGAACAGGTTTGATGATGAACAGAGAGCACTGAACAGAGGGAGAGAGTTGAACACACAGATGGGAAGAACATACCTCGATCTAGCCTCGACGGGCTTCAACAGGTTCTTCCTCTTTCTCTCTCTCTCTTCAATGGGTTAGGGTTTCTCTCTATTTTCAACGTGTCCAAGAGTGTCCAGCTGCAAAAATTTTTAAAAAAAGGGACATGTTGGGTAGAGTGTTGGACACATGTCTGACGCGTGTCCAACACTCATATGTTGCTTTCGGAGAGGTGTCCATGCTTCATAGGTTTTAGGGGTTGTTTGAAATGATCTAAATAAGTGCACTTTTTGACTTTTTATGAAATATGGTTGGGTTTGAAGTGATTTGATAGAGAGGTGATGTAACTTAAATAAAATGATGTGACTTAAATAGGATAGTGACTTTTTGACTTTTTTAAGAGATGCCAAACCTAGCCTTAGTTTTCTTGGTGCTTTTGTAGACTCATTTGGACATCAAAAGATGTTTTGGTAAACGTGACCTGTTTAATTTTTATGGAATTGCATCCAACCGTTGCTATATTTAATTTTTGGAGACATTTACTAAACTTATTATGCTACATGTTCAAACAATGTAGTAAATTGCAGCAAGGTTACAGAACTATTTGAGATCTAGATAGAGTGGTGTCGCATATCGTGGGTTTAGTTCATGTATTCTTGACCAATACTTGGTGAGTTTAGTATCTAGTGCCCACTTGGAATTCATATGGTTGGTTGCGCAAATATTTCATGCTGGATCATGGCAATTGGTTCTTTTAATATTTACATGTGTGCTATGGTGATGGAGAATATAATGAAATTTGTACAGTCCTATTTACTTATAAATCAGCCATATTAGCATTGTCATAGAGAGCTAATAATAAAAGAACATATTTGATGTTTTCTTTATATTTTATGGAGCAGTTGATTGGATTTTCATTTTGATCCTGTACTATCTTGTTTGCTGCTGTGACCTTCACCTTCACCTTCACCTTCACCTTCACCATTACTTTTTTTTCTTTCTTTCTTGTTAGCAATGTCGATGATTTGCACAGGCTCTTAATTAAAACTAACCATTTATAATAGGGGGCTTTATTTGATATATGTATATATATATTTGTTGTTTGAAATTCACTCTGGGAGTATACCTGTAGCATCTCATTATCCTTCTATTTTTTCTGTGCCTTACTATCAGTTCAGCTTCTGTTTTCTGTAGATCTGCAAGAAAGACAATTTTTAATTTTTCTATCTCTAAACCATGGGTCTTAAATTTCTCCTTTTATGTGCATGTATAATATATTTCCTGTTATTTTTTATTATTAATATTATTATTTTATGTGATTTGGTGTACATGGGTTGGCTAATGATGGAAATTCCCATTGTATTGAGCAGTTTAATGGTGTTCCTATTCATCATTAGACTTTGCAAAATGACCAACAGGGGTTGTCGGTGTAATTTACCCTTTTACAATATTAGGGGATGTGAGTGTAATTTGCCCTTTTTAATCATTACTGTTTGATGGTGTGTAAAGGCTTTTGATGAATTTTATCGAAACGAGTCTTATCAATGGTCGTAAAAAAAGGAACAGGAAAAAGACGCAAAGACGACTGACTTATGAGAACTGAGGGCTTTCATCAGTCACTTCGTTTTAATTGGTACCCTATTATATAGAGCTAGCTGACTGTTACCCACAGTTTGAACTCCCCCAAAAACAATAGAGCTAATTATTGGCTTTTAGATAGATCTTGCTGTGATGGGGGCACAATTTGTGGCCTTGGGCAATGTGGTGGCTTCTTCGGCTTCCCTCTATACTTGTTCTCTGTTTTTTTAAGGGGTTGGAATGTTAATGAAAGCTACATCTGACTTTTTTAAACTATCATGTATCAGACATTTTTTTTTATCCTTTGGTTGTAGTTCCTTGTTGCAATTATACTGATGTTTTTGCTTTTAAATCAGTTGAAATGATTTTGATGCCCGATGATGGAAAACTAATTATCTTGAGTGGTTGCTTTGGTTTTCATTGGATGCCTCTTCCATCTTCAGTATCATCACCACCACCACCACCATCATTATCATCTTCTTCTTCTTCTTCTTCTTCTTCTTCTATTATTATTATTATTATTATTATTATTTAGTTGGGAGAGGCTTCTAATGATAAACCATATGACTTCAACCAACAATGAATTATGATAGCTATGAGATCTGAGGGCTTTTACAAGTGTTTTTGAAGTGGTGGTTTTTGCTGGGCAAGCTAGCAAGGGGATTGAGTTACTGATATGATATTGATGTTGATCTTACAATTTTTTTTAAGCAAGTATTCTGTTTCCTAAAATATATTTTAGATTTTAAGATCTTTGATGGTGCCCAATGATGGAATTCATTCTCTTGAGATGTTGCTTAGATTTTGTTAGCAAGCCTTCTTCATCATCTTCATCATAATCATTGTGGTGGTGGTGGTTATTGTATTATCATTATTATTATTATTATTGGTGTTGTGTGGTGTGGTGTTGTGTTGTGTTGTGGTTGTGGTGTTGAAGGCTGTCAATAAAAATCATAAGAAGTCAAGATTGATGAATGATGATAGCTATGATATCTGAGGGCATGTTTTGCACTAATAATGTGAAGCTTGTAACCTGCTTTTCTTGGAGGCTGGTGACTTGATATGCAATTGTGGTTTTACTAACCTTCTATTCATAGCTTGATGAAGAAAAGAAAACCCATTTTTTATGTTATAATTCAATGAAATCAAATTCTTTTTATGTTCTCAGGGTTTTTTTCCATCAATGTCGTAAAGCACCACAACCATCTTTTATTTTGTATTATCATTTTACTTATTTATATATTATTTCTGTTTTGGTGGTTTATGCAGATTCTTTGGAGGAAAGTGTTACTATACACAACCACTAAAGAGGGTATATATAGTATGCACTTAAAATTTCAGTCACAAACACAATTGTTCATGGGTTACTCAATGAAGCAGTTTAATGGCTTCTATTCGTCACTGGTCTTTACGAATGGTCTTCACTTCTGTGGGTATGTCAGTGTCATGTACCCTTTTTAAAAAAAAAAAAATAATTCACATCTGTTTGATGGTGTTCCAAGGCTTTTGATGAATTCCATCTTCAAAGCATTGACTAGTCACTCACGAGTAATTATATCCAAGGCTTTCCTTAGTCACTTTGTTTCTATGGTGCCCCCAACTATTTAGACTTTCTCATGCTGCCCCCAGTTTGAAGTCTTGCTAAACAATAAAGCGAATTCTAGTCTTCTAGTCAGATCATGCGCTTAGGGAACACAATTTGTTGGATCACTATACTTGGTTCTCTTGTTTTATATGTGGTTGCATTGTTAACGAAGGTGTATGGATATTGCAGTGTCTTTCTTAGTGCTAGAATAATGGTTACGTGCTGGCTGTTCAGCTTCGACTTAGATAAATCACAAATACTGAATGATAATTTATTACCACTTGGCTGTGAAAGTAGTTTATTTTCTGCAATTTTCGTTTGAAATTCAGAAATGTAGCATAGAAAGCTAAGTCTGTCGAAATTGCATCTGATAATTTTTTTATCCATTCTTGATTTGAGGATGCTTCATGTTGCAATTATCCTTGTCTTGCGCATCATGGTTTATACTATTTCTGTAGGAGGCAGTCTCATGGATTTATGACACCTAAATTGAATGAGTATTTTTGGATTTGTTATATTGGATTTGTCAGTTAGAGATGATTTGATTATAGAGATTACAAGACCTTGCTTGGATTGGTTCCAACCTCTTTAGATTCCCATTTTCCTCTGCTCCTTTATTGTCTCCCTTGGTGTTACATCAATATTGTGTGATCACAAATGTAACCTTTGTTTTGTTGTAGATGGTGTTTAATCAGGATCTGTAATTTGTTTAGTCTGGACTAATGTTGCCTTTTCAGATTCAATAAAATTTTTGATGGTTTTATTATCTTCCTTGGTGCGTGAAGTCCTTCATTCCAGATGCAAGAAGTTAAATTGGATATTATGTCCTTTTTATGTAATTATGTTACTATGTACTGCATTTTTATAATATACAAATTATAGCATTTGATTTTTTGGCCAATTTGGTGGTGTGCAAGTTGTGAAGCCAATGTTGATTGTGATATATTGTGGTGTTCGCTTCTAATATACATAGATTTTATTGTGGTGGTTTTGGTTTGACACAAGTGGTGTTCGGTTATGTGCCACAACCAAATTGGCATGTGACGACATAATTCAACACCATTTTTGCCTAAACAAAACCACACGATTAAAATCATGATTAGTACCTTCCATTACATAACCAAAGTGGTGATTAAATTGCCAAAGCCAAAGTTGGTTATATTCTTTTGTGTTATTTGAGTATGTTGTAAAATTGTACGAGTTACAAAACCAAATGATCTAGTAATTATAGATATGGTCTTATCATATTTCTTTTCAAAGAGATTAAAAAAAAGGATCAATAAATCTGATTAGAAAAATATATTACAAAAGTAGTGCAATAAAATTGAATGGATATAAGATTATTGGATTAGTTTTATTTTTTCCTCATTGATTTACAAGATTTTAGAATATGGATGAGTTAATTGTTAAGGGTCTCTGGTAATGCTCTGAGCAGTAGAAATAGTTTAAATAAATTAAAAAAAATTAATTATCAAAAAAGATGTAGGAAAATAATTTTAATTTTTGTTTTTTTATTATTAATTTTTAATTTAATAAAAACTATACCAAGCCAAGGTGGTGTTTGATAAAACTAAAAATTAAGTATTAAAAACCGAACGCTGAATTTTTTAAGTTAAAAAATTATTTGGATAAAAATTTAAGTGTTGAATTAAAAATAAATTATTTAATATGTACAAGATCAAGTTTAAAATTTATTATTTTCAAATTGTATATTTCAATTTTTATATTGTGATGGTAGTGGTGGTGGTGGTGGTAGTGGCAATAGTGGTGGTGGTGGTGACGATATGGTGGTTGGCGGTGGCGATGGTAGTGGTAATAAAATGATGGTTGTGCCTATGACAATAATGCAATGGTGATGAAGGTGGTGGCGGTGGCGGCGGCGGCGGCGGCATGATGGTGGTGGTAATAGCGGCGGTGATATGATGGTAGTGGTATGGCAGTGGAGGTAGTGATATTGGTGGCATCGTGGTATGGATGACATTTGAAACCGACCCGATGGGGACCCGACTCCCTAATCCCGATTGGAACGGTTTTTTCTCGAAAAATACCTTTAATAGGCCGGGAATGGTATTAAAAAATAAATTCTGGATCATTTTCGGGCCAGGGATGGTGATACCTTCCCCAGCCCCGAACCTGTCCCATTCCATCCCCCGTCCTCATTTACCCCTATTTGAAATTACCGTTGTACCCCTCTCTCTCTCTCTCTATATATATATATGTTTTCTCTCTTCTTTCACTCATTTTAGGCTCCCTTCCTCTTCCCCCCCTCTCTCTCTCTCTCTCTAAAACCCTTCTTCCAATCTCCTTCCCTCTGATCTCTTTTCTCCGAAGCCCTCTCTCTCTCTCTCTCTCTCTCTCTCCCTCCGATCTCTCTTCTCCGAAATCCTCTCTCTCTTTCTCTCTCTCTCTCTCTCTCTCTTTTTCCCTTTGATACCCTCTAATCGATGGAGATGGTCAATGGATGCTGCAGTGGTAGAGAGTTTGGGTTTTCTGTGCTAACTCCTGTTGGGTACCTGTGTAGAACACTTCAAGGCATGTTTGTATTTTTGGCTCATGTTTCAGTTCCACTATGCTAGCTCTTGTTTTTGCTTTTTGCTTTTGACTTTTTTTGTTTCTTGTTTTAGTTGATCTGGTTCTAGAAATCATTTACAATATATATATATATATATATATTTTATTTTTTTCCTTAATCAAACATGAGAATAAACATTTCAATCTGTTGTTGTTGTTGTATTTTTTTATTTTGGTTGGGAAATTTTTGGGGTCGGGGAAACTCGATCCTCATTAGGGCGTGGGGCGGGAGCGGGGGCGGTAATATGCTCCCTACCAGGGATCAGGGCCAGGGTCTGGGACGGGAAAATTACTATCATCGGGGATCGGGGACGAGGAATGTGATCCCTGGTCCCGCCTCGGCCCGTTGTCATTCCTATATGGTGGTGGTGGTGACATGATGGTAGTTGTTGTGATGGTAGTGAGTTTATAATAATGTATATTGATACTTATATATAATATTTATAAATTCAGTCAGAATTAAGTAAGTTTTATATGATTTAAATTTTTTTAAATTTTAGCCTTCATTTTAAGAAGTACTTAAATTTTTAAGCGATATCAATTGTGATTAAATACCCCCAACTTAAACTGATACTTAAATTTTCATACATTTAGTTTTAAGTGCCAAATAGAATTATCAAATACCCCCAACTTAATGCCTTGATATTTTCGTACTTAAATATATTTTAATATGATTAAATAAGTATGTATTATAAGAAAGAGAAAATATTTTTCAATAATACTACAAACCTACTCTTACTAACCCAGAAATTATCCAAATTTTTATCTTATGATTTTAGTTTATTCTATATATGAACTCCACATGAATTCCATACTATACAAATTAATCTCTCCGCTATACAATCAACCACCCAACCAAAAAATTATGGGTGAATTATTTTGGCACCATAGTTTTTCTCAATATTCTTAGGACCGAGCAACCTTGACATCTCTAGTAGTTTATAATGGATGAGTAATTCCACTTATACGACAATTTGAACTTCTTACACCCATTTTCTCATTACTATGATTCAATTTTTTACTCTCTCTTTACATTTTTAATTATGCCACTTTTACCCCTTTCAACCCACACTTCTCCTTACACTCATTTTCATCTTCTCTCTCTCCTTCACTTTTCTCTTCCCCTTACTGCCATTGCGGTCGATCGTTGTCGCTGTCATCACCACCAGTTATCACTATCACTATCTTCATAGCCCTTCAACTACTGCGACCCCTATTATCTTAACCACCACTTTCGTAGCCCCTCACTACTGCACCCATAACTCCTTTTGTCACTTCACGCTGCAACCATCACTACCGGTGCAACCACCCCTTCTGCATCACTCTTAGATTTGTGTCTCCACCACTGCAATCCATTGCGAGAGTAAGAGAGATAGAGAGAGATGAAACCTAAGGTTAGATCGTCCCTACCACCGCGATTCATATTTGGAATAAAAAGAAGAGGGAGAATAAGGAAAAGGGCGGTGACGAGAAGAGGTGAGGGCAACGAAAAGTTGTCGCAACTAACCCTTTCTGCAACACTTTCAGATTGTCCCCACCACTGCAATCCACCGCCCCATCTTTTACCAAAGCGAGAGAGACATAGAGAAATGAAAACCCAGGGTTAGGTTTTCAGATCTGGAAGAAAAAAAGAAGAAAAATAAGGAGGAAAAAGAAGGCAGTGAGGGATTGGGTGGCGACGGTTGGCGGTGAAGGGGCGGCGACAATAGTGGGCTGATAGAGGTGATGGTGATGGGATATAATGAAAAATTAGGATTTTCAAATTTTAAGATGAAAATATATTTTAGTAATTTTATACAAGGATTGAAATGTAATTAAAAAAAATTAAAATTGAAAGGTGTAATGAGTTGAATTAGTGGTATGAATAGAATTATCCATAATGGATTATGCAAACACACACTCATGCAACCACCTTCAAAGTCATTTGCTTTAAATGCTTTTGTTTTTTGTTTTTCAAATCTAAATACCCAAATCAACATCAATTGTGGAATTTGATAGTATTAATTAATCTTGGATATAGATATATTGACAAAGTCAGGATTAATGATGGCAAACATCTTGACCTCTCTATACTCTGAATACTTTGTAATCACAAGTTTAGGGTTTATCTATATGGTATCTTCCACTATTATGATTAATGGAAGATAGTGGAATATAAACTATACTATTGGATGTTTGGAGAACATTATGGGGCATATATATTGGGAGATTTGGTGATATAGCTTTCACTGTCTAATTTGTCCTTCAAAAGGACAAGAATTGTATGAATCCTTTCAAAACTTCTTATAATATTTTACAATTTGTTTTTTTTACTATGCTACTCTCATATATATATATATATATATATATATAAAAGATTTGCAAATTCTGTCTCTTTTATCTCAACCTTTCTTATCTTTGTCTCGCTTTCTTTACAATCGTTGCTTTCCATCGGCGCCATCAACACTCTCCACTATCGCCACTGTTACTTTCTATGGAACTCTTTCTCCACCGTCTTCATCACCACCTCACTTGTCACGTTCACGACCTCATATCTGAGATCATTCACGTATTCGTCGTCGAAAAATGACGGTGTGCGGTTCGCGAACCTCAAATCTAAGATCCTTCACTCTCTCCCCCCCTCTAGTTCTAACGGTTTGTATTCTCTTTGTGTGTGTGTGTGTGTGACTCATCATTTCTGCTCTCTCTCTCTCTCTCTCTCTCTTTCTTTTTCTTTTCATGATGCTCTGTTTTCGAATTCTGCCTCTCTATCTCTCTCTTCTTCTTCTCATGATGCTCTATTCTTCGAACAATAAAATTTTACTTTGGTTTGTGATGCATCCCTTTCCTGTAAAACCATCCTCGCAGTGCGTTTCATAGTAAATTTTACTTTGACGTTACTTTAATTCAAAGTAAAATTTTACTATCATTAAGTAGATTAGCATGTTGTTAACCAAAGTAAAATTTTACTGTTACATAAAGCAGAGTACATAATGAACGAACTAGAGTCAAATTTTACTTTTAGATCTATGAACAAACAAACAAAAACTCTTAATTTTTTATTGTAATATCTCGATTTCTCATTTTTTTAAATCAAATCTAAGTTCATTTATCACAGATATGAAAATATTGATCTCAAATCTGAGTTCATAAGTTTTAAATCTGAGATGGTGGTGATTTGACGATAAAAATGGTGGTTGCTAGTCGACAGTGAGGATAAGCGATGCCAACAGATGATGAAGATGGTAGGGGCGATGAACAACCATTGAGTTGGTAAAGAGAAAGGATACTATAAAAGAAAAAGAAGAAAAATACGGTATAATAGCTAAATAAAATATTCAA